AAACCCATGAGGAGGCAACCTAGGCCCAGCCAGTAGCCCACCTGGTGAAGGAGGTGGCAGGGTGGGTGCCGCCTCTCGGGCCCAGTCTCCTCTAGTTGGTGCAATAAAGGCTCAGGAGGGCGGTTTGGGGAGATTCCCCCGAATATTCCCCTTAAACCGACCTGACCACTAAAATAAGAGGAGGAGAGAGCCCCCTCTCTCTCACACACCACACTTTGAGCTCTCTCTCCCTCACTACCTTTGTACTTTTATCTTTTAGTAGTAGTTGGGGCTAGGCTAAAATTTGTGAGAGGCTTGGACAACTTGGCAACACTCGGTATGAGAAATACTTTTGGATCCAATATGTTCATGTTCTCTATTTATCAATATAGCTATGCATATGAAGTAGAGATAAGTTCTTATGTTACATGTTTAGCATATCAAACTTTATGCCTAATCATTCATATAACATTCATGGTTAGAGTTAGAGCTAAGTTGAGGTGGTGGTTCGTCGTTCCTTCGGGGGTGTCCATGTCCTATGCTTGTCGATCCGTAGGGTCGGAGTCCCGGGGATATGGGTAGTTCCTTTATACACGGGCGTGGTGCTCGAGTATACGGGAGCTTTCGGATATGATGGTGCTCCACGGTTGAGGGGTAGGCGGCAGGCGGTGACAACCCTGTCCATCCCTTGTAATCCCCACGTTCGGGTATTCGTGTAGGAGTTTATAAATTGCCACCCAAGCTTGCTGGCATACCAGTGCTTAGTGGTCTCCCCGACCATTTCTTGCTTAGAGCTAAGTCTTAACCATGTATGTGTATGTATACTTGCTATTCTTTGCATGGTTGTATTAGGATATGCCTGCTCCTGTTAGGATCATTCTTTTATTCTTTATTCTTTCTTACATCTGTACCCCTGAGATAGGCTCGTGTGTGTGTCACACTATCTTGAACCCTATCATGTTTACCCCTGCTATGAACCTTGGTTCATTATACAAGTATGTTAACTTGATCATATCCATACTAGAGACTTTTATACCATTGCCTTCCTTTGCGAAAATATAAATAACGATACCCTAGATACTTCCAGGTGAAATGCTACAACGGTAATTCTGTGCACTTGTAGATTTGTTCTGTAAACGTAAAGAACTACGACCAAGGCATTTCTGGTGCCATTGCTTGGGAATACTTCCTAAGTAGTGATGCTAAGAAATGCCAACAATTATTTATGGCGCCGTTTCCGGGGAAGGCATTGGTTAAAAGAATCTAGTATGATATGTTCATGATGATATGCATGTGTAGTAGCCAATGCTCATGCAAGCTAACTTTGCTTGTTTTCTCCTGTTGTGGATGAAAACAGGTTAGTGTAAATGGTTTCGTCTTGCCAGAAAACTACATAGAGAACTCGAAGGCACTCCTAAGGAAGAACCAGTCTCGTACCGTTTCTTCTTCTGCCACTCCACCGACAAACGAACCCGTCACTTCAGCACCATCCACTACTAACGCTATGGCCCAAAAGACCCTTCACGAGTTCTCCATCCCCGCCGTTGCGAACGTGCCCGTTGGGCCCGCTATCAACGTTAGTGACAAGAACTTCGAACTATGTACCGGGCTGATCACGATGGTGCAGGCAAACTCAATCTGTGGTTTGCCTAGCGAGGATGCGAACGCACACCTCCAACACTTTCTAGAGCTATGCGATACCGTCGTCATGAAGGGTGTCGCACCAGAGATAATCAAGCTCCGTCTGTTTCCCTTCTCCCACATAGGGAAGGCGAAGCAGTGGTTCTATAAAGACCAGGAAGCTGTCAACACATGGGCAAAATGGTCCACGACATTCCTCGCGAAGTTCTTCCCCATGGGAAAACCAATGCCCTAAGGAGAAGAATTTCAAATTTCTAGCAAAATGCAATGGAATCCATCCCCGAAGCATGGGAGAGACTGCAAGAATACATCCTTGCTTGCCCGCACCACGGGATGGAGAATTGGCTCATTCTCCAGAACTTCGACAATGGGTTAACACCCATATCCTGAGGCCACATTGATGCTGCCACTAGTGGAGCCTTCCGATAGCTAACAATCGACGGGGCTACAGCCCTGATCGAGAAAATGGTCTCTGTAACATCCCTGAGAAATCCCAAAAGCCAAAAATACCAACTTTCAAAAAATTTTCTATAAAACCCATGTTGGTGAGTGTCATGCTAGGAAAACACCCTAGTTGCACAAGTAGACCCCAAGAGTAGTGTGTGTGAGCATATGCATTTAAACAACTAGTGAGTTGCTTCGTGTTGATTTCATGTGATGAAAATTAAAATGAGAACCAACCGGCCCCGCACAGTCCGTCGGGCACCCCAAAACCCCAGCCCGGAGGCCTATCTACCCTACACGTACCCTTCTGCCACTCCCCGCCATCCGCCGACATCGCCATAGCCGTGCCCGGTTATAAAAGGCAAGCCCCAGTGCCCTAACCCTCTTCCCATGCCCCGCCGCCACCTGTGGCGCTCCACAACACCCACACCGAGGAGAAGGAAGGAGAAGGGAGGAGAAGGGGAGAGGAGGAGTGCCGACGCCGTCGGAGCCTCGCCAAGGTCTCCTGAGTAGAGGACGTCGCCCCGATCGACTACTCCAACGCCGTGGCTCTCCCTGCACTGCCTTGACTCGTCACTGCCTCGCCTCACCACTGCCCCAATAGCCTATCGCCTTTGACACCAATGGTGAGCCCCGCCTTGCCGAGCCCCTGGCGCTCGAGAACACCGGCGTTCTCATGCCACACCCACATGCCCGCCATGGCCACCATCGTGGATAGCCCCGCTGGAGCCCCAAAGGCTTCACCTTTGGCCGTCACTTACGCACTCACACACGCACACACGTACACAGGCCAAGAGCCGGCCTTGCCAAGCTCTTGGAGCTCGGGAACGCCGTCATATTCACCGTGCACCCGTACACGCCCGCCATGGCCAGAGCACAGCCACGACGAGAGCCATTCTAGTCTCACCCCACCGGTAGAGATAGCGCCACCACCCCGACGAGTTTTGCCCCTTCGAGAGACGAGCCCTGCGCTAGCTAGTTGAAGGAGAAGGACCCCGGGAGCCGTTGAGCGCATCCACCTCGCTGGAGCTGCCGTGCGCCCATGTCGCCGCCGTACCGAGGCCGTTCCCATCGATGCTGTCCACCTTGCTCGACAAGGAGAAGCCGATGATGACCATCGTGACCCTGTGAATCCCACTGTGTGTTTGGTTGAAGCCCCTGCCATCCCGAACCCCCTCACCGCCGTAGCTGTGCCTTCGCCAGAGCTCCACCGCGCACTTGTCCGTGGTGCGGACTCCGCCGTGCCTTTTGGTAGTCGGCGTCGAGCCCTTCGGCTCTCCCGTGACCCCAATCGAGCAAAAGGCCGTCTTTGGCTCTAATTGCACGCACAGCCGCCTTTCCGTGACCCGCCTTCGCCACCGTGCCACTGCCGCCATGGCTGGCCTCGCCCGAGCCCTTAGAGCCACGTCTGCTACCCTAGCAAACCTCGCCGAAGCCCTAGGAAGTTAGTAGGACCCCACTGGAGCTTCACCGACGTCCGAGGAGCCCCACCGTCGTCCCCACACCGTCGCAATTCGCCGCGTCGCCATCACCAGCCCCTCCAAGCACCGTCGAGCCACGCCGAGCCCCGCCGAAGCCCCGCCGAGCATCGCCGAAACCATTTGCAATCAAAGGAGATCAAAATGCTCAGATAGTTTGAGATGAATCCATGTGCAAACCAAAGTTGTAAGAGCACCTCTAAGAGTCTTAAAATTATTCGGAGAGTCATTTAAATAAAAATCTCTATCTATATCTTTCAACTCTCCAATATTTTTTTTATATCTTGTGCGCACAGTCAACCTTGCTCTCCAACTTCGGCTAGTGAGAAATCCAAAATAAAGGTGACTATATCTGGATAACCAATTAAAGAAATTGTTGGAGGGTATTTTTTCAAAAAAAAAACTCTATTCCTAACAATTAGAAAAAATATAGATAGTCTCTTGGAGTCGCTCTAAGTGTACATAAATACTATAGTATACTATTCCCTCCATTCCAAATTACTCCTTCCATTCTAATTTATATGTCGTTTTGACTTTTCTAGATACACAATATTTATTATGTATTTAGACATATTGTATATCTAGGTGCATAATGAAAAGCTATGTATCTAGAAAAGCCAAAACGACCTATAATTTTGAATTAGTTTGGCTTTTTTATATCCATTGTTTTATTATGTAATCCACATATAGTTAGTGTATATATCTAAGTGCATAGCAAAAGCTATGTATGCAAAAACTGAAATGTCTTATAATTTCAAATAGAGGGAATCGTATTTTTCCTTCTATTTACAAAATGGCAGGATGCAAACTCAAAGCATATTTTTTCTACTATTTACAAAATGGCAGCACGCAAACTCAAAGCATAATTGATTTACTTGTGTACCGGAATCAAGTGCAAGTCAAGGGATCGATCATCGACCCCTCTCAGTTCAGTAACTATCTTGCTCTTCACCAAATTAACATGATTTAGGGTGAATAACACGGGAAATTCAACAAAATCGCTGCCGTGAATCCTTTGCTCTTCATTATGCACACGATTATCACAAAATTCTATATCTGAATATTTAAGGACATCCTTATCTGAAATTTCGTTCATTTATCTGAACATTTTGGTAAATCCTCATCTGAAACTTGTTTCCCTTATACTTGAATATTTTACGGAAAGTCGAAACCCTTATCTGAGTAGTATATCTGATCTTCCACGTGGATGCTTATCACGTTCACGATCAGTTCCCACCAGGTCGCCGGGCCCACCTGCAACCTCACGTGACCCCGCTCCTAAACACCCGCGGCGCGGTGCCCATGTAACTTGGAACAAGTGTTTTGAGTTCACAAGAGTAGTTCAGAGTTGAGACTCGCGCTCGCACGCCGTCCTTCGCGCTGCTTAATCGGTTAGGGCTCGTCGATCCATCGCCCGCTCGACTTCTGATCTCGCGGGCGGAGGACCGTGCCGGCTCGATGGCTCCGGATCCTGATTTGTCCGGCGGCGAGCAGGCGGAGCCGCCCGACGAGGTGGACGACCCCGACGTCGACGAGGTCGACCCCACCGGCCGCTACTTCCGGGTACGTGCTGCGCCGTCCATCCGCCGTCCCTTTGCGTCTGCTGCTAGTGTCGACATGTTGTTTAGTCTCGTCGGGTTGCCGGGTTGGTTCATCGCCTGTTAGCGCGGGGGGCTTTCAGTTCCTGAATCTTGAATCTTGATTGCATCTTGCGCTGCGAATTCGTCTGAAAATTGCCTGATCTCTGCGGTTTCGTGCGTGCATTGCAGTACAAGGAGGTCTTGGGATCAGGGGCCTTCAAGACAGTGTACCTCCGTTCCCTCTCCTCAGCTGTTTATGCAGTAATTCAGTAGCGAATTAAATGACAGTAACTTGTTTCCTGAATTTCACACTGGATATTCGAGAAACCACAAAGATTCTGCCTTGAATATTTGTTTCAAAATATGAAGAAAGTAAGAATGCTTTCTGTGTTTGTTGATTCACGTGATCGATTTGGTGCCAGCTACAAAGGCTTCGACGTGGTGGAAGTCATCGAGGTGTCATGGGCCAAAGTCTCCAGCACAAGCACATCCTCAAGCTCTACGCCTCATGGCTCGACAAGAAGAAAAGGACCGTCAATATCGTCACTGAGCTGTTCACGTCCGGCAACTTGAGAGAGAGTGTAAATATGACATACCCCTCTTTGTATGTGCTGCTACGATGGAGTGTGATTGATTTTACTATTTGTGCCTCGTACATTCTTTTTGTGCCATGGTGAATGTTCAGTTATTTACCAATGGCAAACAAAATCTGAATAACTCTTTCTTTTTCAAATTTAAAGTCTGAATAGTTTATTGGTAGTTTTAGTTTTCACTTTTCAGGGTTAAAAAAAATACAGAGTTGACTCTTTTTGCTTTCCATTCAGAAGGGAAACAGCTGTACAGAAGTAGCTACCTTCACCATCCCCCTTTAATGATCTATTCCATGTTATGGTGTGGTTAGGTACCATACGAAGCACAAGAAAGTTGACATGAACGCTATGAGGCGATGGGCCAAACAGATACTGACAGGGCTAGGCTATCTGCACAGCCAGAAGCCACCAATCATACACAGGGACTCGAAGTGTGAACATTTTCTTCAATGGGAACCATGGGAAAGTTAATGCCATGATGCTTATCAGCTATGGTACAATATTTTTTTCTCACGATAAAATAGCATCAAACGACTTATCAGTCACAGAAACCATCAGCCAGACACCTTAGATCGGGGACTTCAGTTTGGCAATGGTCATGCAGCAGAGGAAAACACAGAGTATACAAGGTACGGTTTTCTACAGGCCACGCTGCCACATATGTGGTGAGCTTGATATGGCTATAGTAACATTTAACGTGAAACACAGGCACCTTAGAATTCATGGCACCAGAGCTCTTTGATGAAAACTACAATGAGTTGGTGGATATATACTCTTTCGCCATCGTCCTTCTCCTTGACTTAGTCGACGCCGTCTTCATCACCCATGTACTCTTGCTTCTTGTGCCCAATGTGAGCCGCGCACGGCCGGTTCTCCGGCCCCTGGTCGCTTGGTCCAAGCCTTCTTATCTACCCTTTACCGCTTCCGCCGCACTTGACCTTCTCTATTGCCGTTGACCGTTTTGGCGCATCGAACATCTGCACATTTACATGCCAAGAGACATGATGCACATCACACACAACATAACTCAACATGACACCTCCGGTTAGTCATTAGCATAATCAAACATGTATGAAATTTGATTCAACTGGAAAAGTCTCAGACATCTCATATCTGTGTCGATCATTCACAACACACGCATGAGCACGTCTCCAGGTTCAAAAATGAAAAGAAAAACAAATAACAGAAACGGACAAACTCGATCGGACTACGGAGGCATAAAGATGCTTTGCCTGCCGGGCTATTCAACAAATGGGCCGAACCATGCCACAGCCCACACGAAGCTACCGGCGGTTGCCGTGCTGCCGAGCGCATGCAGCTTCCATGCACAAGTTTTTTTTTTATCAAACACGCAAGTTTTTTTTTCAGTACCACCACAGTAATACTGCTTGCGTAGTATGTCTCAGGACGCAGGTGATCTAGCGTAGCAGTATCAAAGCTGGAAGCGACTAACAAGAACGAAAATGCTGGCGTGAATTCCTGTATAAATATAGAACACGGGTACTGGCAAAACAGTCAGGAGAATGCTTCAATTGTTTTCAGTCCCGTTTTTTTCATTATTAAAACGGTCAGAAGAATGCGTCAACTCTTTCCTGTCCCGTTTTTATTAAGCTGTTCCTGGTGCGCCGGTTCTGTTTTCCTGGTTCCATTCTGTATTCGGATTTTTCCTAAGAAAACAGAATACGGGTGGGAAAATATGGATACAACATCGTCCGGAGGGAGCAGGATTTTTCGCTTCTGTTTTCATCCCTATCGATAAAGATGAGGATGGTGCTCCAAATGGGTATCCACGGATCTCTTCTTCTTCAACTAAAGACAGTCACAAATATATAGTTTATTAATTTTTTTTAACTTTTGAAAGAACCTCAGATGTAGTCACGCTCTATACTAAAGTTGTAGTGCTTGACCAGATGTTAAACTTTGTAGCTAAAACTTTTTTATTTTAGATTACATAGACACTAGAATATTCAATACAAAATTCATAGAAGTTAACAAAATGGATAGAATTCTATACTTGGTCATAACAAATAGTGTAGCATGCGTGGTGGTAGGGTGTGCTCATGCTAGACAATATGTCATGGGTTCCAATCCAAAGAAATTAAACCAGTGCCCGATCGACATGATTTTGTGACAACAAATTAAAAGGGATACAACAAATAACATATATAATTTGGCGAAGTCGTAGTATGGTGGGCATATCCGATCTGGATCATTGAACACGAGGGGGACAAGTTTTAGTGCATCTTCTGGGCTCATAATTCCGATCGATTCTAGCATCCTGTTTTGAGGCCATCCTTGGTAGAAGTGATCCCTCCAGTCCAGCAGTGTTCTTGATATTACTGGCCAATTCTTTATGTAATCCATCAGTTCCTTGGTGAATTTGGTCCCGTTGTTCCAGCCACCTGCAATGGCCTGGAGGACAGGATTCATCCTCGCTGAATCGCAGACCATGACTATGAGGCCCAGCAGTGCCCGGGCGGGGTTGTCACGAACCCCCCCCCGACCCCATCCATACCTTTGGGTCAGGGTCCAAGCGCGAAAGCTCGCGCACGGCGTCCTCCACAAAGGTCTTACCCAGCTCCTTGGAGGCCAGTATATTCTCCTTTTACACCACGATGTCTACTGCGGATCACTTGGTGGTTACGTGTGGACGAGAGCTCTGGGTGATCGGCCATGAGATCACCAATCGACGCAGCTCAGTGATGAATGTACTGAACCCTTCTCCGTCATCCCCAATGGTGTACGAGATGTCAGGTTGCCGCGGACTCATTTTGTTGATCTGGCAGTATATATGTGGTGACGAATCAATACTCGACATAGATATCTGATTAGTCAAAAGAAAGCAAGGAAAAATGTAAGAAATGTCTTCAATGTTTACCTCCTCTCCTGGTTCTGAGGAAGCAGCAGGAATAAAACCTGGGTACCAGCAGGTGTGACGCCAACTTCAACTTCGCCACCATGGACTTGGTGACGTTGACTCAAAGTTCGTTCGGGGAAGCTGAGAGTAACAGTAGTGTTGAAATGCCGCTTGACCCCTCGGTTGTTGGAAGTTTCAATCTGTAGGTGCAGGTCTATGTGAAGCACCCCGCCATATGGCACCGCAACGACAGACCGAGCCAGCTGAAGCACCCGCGAGTCAGTAGGAGAGAAACGCTGAGCCATCTCCTGTGTACGCCTGAAGAGGATGCTCTGCTGTTTGAAGTCACCAATGCGTGCGGTGATATTACCGTGGACGCTACAACTACAAGGGCTGTCCCCATCTTTGATCCGCAGCTTCACCTGCACTGTGGCCTTCAGGGCGTTGGACATCACCGTATAGGCGACCTCAACGTTGCGGCCGGGGCCTGAAGAGCTTATGGTGCGAGTCATGGGTCCTTTGTCAACTTCTTCAGCATACTTGGAGTCGTAGCAATCCCATTCCCATTTGATGGAACCACCGGCATTGCCAGTACTTGTGTAAGGTCCTGGGATGTCAATTTTGATGGCAAAGCACCCGTACGTTGAGATGCTTGTGTAGGGTCCAGTCAGCACCAAATCAACCGTTTTTTCCTACAACCAGACATTGCTTGATTAATATTACTAGTCCATCAATCCGTTCTAGCACAGGCCAGAATCTAAAGATATATAAGCATTAGTTACCGTTTACTACCTTTGACTAATAAAAAATTACTTATATTAAGTTGTTATTTTTGCTTGTTGTTCATTTTCTAATATAAGAGACATAGTAGATGTTCTGTAGTTTATATCCATTTATTATAAACTTATCAATTTCTTATCTATATGTTCATTTCATCCATATCCATGGATTTTGTTTTGCACGGCACGTCTATATATCCTCAATATGTAATTAGTTGAAACCTTAGCATAAACTAAGATGGCTCTTGTTACGGCCCATGTATTATGATGTTGGGAATCTAAATTTCTTTTTTTTTCAAATTTTATTCTTATTGATTGCTACCGATTTTTTATTTGCAAGTTAAGTTGAAGTTCTTGTGCTTATTGTATTTTTTATTAACTCTCCTTTTTGTAGGTTTTAAAAATAAGGATTTTAGGTCATAGACTGCATTCTTAAATACCACGATAGCATTAGCAATCATTTGAAACCTGCATGATGTCGCATAAGATAAGTGGCAGAGCTTAAAGTGAGATCTCAGATGGGGTAGCAGTGCTAAGCTTAATAGGATATTAATATTTAAGGCCTCCTTTGGAACGCAGGATTTTCAAAACACAGGAATAGGAAAAACCCAGGATTAGAGTTGCACGAAACTTACAATCCTACGGGAATCTATAATGTTGGAAATTTTCTGATGTAGCCTTTGAATAGAACACAAGGAAAAATATAGGGACCAGAACAGAGATAGACACAAAGGAAAGGGTCCAACCCCTTGTTAGTTTTCCTCGAAATTAAAATTCCTATGTTTTCATGCATCCCATGGCAATCCTAAGGAATTTTATAGGGTTCAATCATTTGTTCCAAAGAGGTGTATAGGAAACTTTTCTATAGAATTGAAATCCTCTAATATTCCTATGTTTTTCCTTTGTTCCAAAGGAATACAAGCCTTATAATGATTGCCTACTTACTTTAAGGGAATATTAAAGGTCGGGAAAATATAGCCAATAGTGGCCTCTCCCACTTCTCAAGATGATTGAATTTTCCTATCAAGGAATTATATATTCATTAATGGTTTAGTTATATTAAACATTTTAGTTAAAATATATAAATATATCTAAAGTAACAACATATATAAATTATATGTCACGTTTATAAATATGTTTTTAAATTAAACAATTTGTTAGTATCATTAATTATGAGTTGTTAAGGAAATATTTTTATATACTAAAACATAATTTGTATATTTATGGCTCATGTATACTGTCACGATGTGTATGTTTACTTTTATTAAGTTTCAATATAATAACATTGATAAAAGTGTGTAATATAGAAACATATATAGGCTTTATGGTTATTTAAATATTTTTTCTTATAGAAGATGTTGATAATTTAGATGTAGATTTGAGAAGATATTATATAGGTATTCTATGCAGCACCCTGGGTACTGAATCAATATTATTCATTACCTAGGCAC